CTTGTTTGACACGCCACGGGGCCTTGGGTCCCCTGCGCAATTCTACGAAGGGCCCAAGAGTCTGGGGCCGTCGGCATGCCTCAAATATGCGTTGCGCGCCCGCGCCACCGCTCGTGCCCGCAAGCCCTCCTTGTCCGTCCTGGTGTCCACCGCACCCTTGCCTTGTGAGTCGCGGGCCGCGCCCCGCTGCGCGCGGGACGAAGCATGGACTCACCGAGGCAATCCCGCCTCTTGACGCTCTGCCTCGCATTAAGACCGTACATCAGAGAGGAGGAAGTGGGGACTAGTTCAAGGCAGACGAGTCGACAGCAGAAGGCGGATGAGGAAGAGGAGGACGGCGAGGAGGAGGACAACGACGACCACACGGGTTAGCACCAGAAGGATTCCGGGTATGGGGGCGAGGAGGAGGAGGAGGAGGAGGAGGAGGAGGAGGAGGAGGAGGAGGAGGAGGAGGAGAGGGGAGGCGACCAGGACGATGACGACGATGAGGGGGGGAGAGGTGAGGAAGAAGAGGGGATGATGAGGGAAGGTGGGAAGCAGGCAGGAAGAGGGGGAGGCGCAAGAGAGAGAGAGAGAAGGAAGAAGGAGGAAGGAGGAAGGAGGAAGGAGGAGGAGGAGAAGGAAACCCGTAGCGCGTTTAGCTCAAGGCTAGAGGAGTGAAGGCCAGACAGTTGCCGAATCTCGGCTAGTTTCGGCAATGCCCGCAGTCTCGCTCGTCAAGCTTCCGGGCGCAGATCCCACGGCCTGTCACAAATTCCGTAGCCTTGGCCAGTAGACAAATCTTCCAGGTGCCGAGCTCCAATCTCTGCGCCTACGGCGAAGATGGCAGCGATGGCGGGAACAGGCAGTGACAGGTGGGGCGTCTTTTCCAGCCTGCCGTCCGTCATGCGAAGCGTGGAGTATCGTGTACGGAGGTTATGGTTTCACGGACCGCGAGGACGCACCCATGTCGGCCGCAGAGCTCGGAAACGCCGTGAACGCCTCCCGCGAGGAGCTCACGACTTCTACGCAGCAAGCCAAATATTCCATGTCGCAGCCCATGGCCTCCCAGTCCACGAACATGCCGCAGACTTGCACCACCACCAGCAAATCGGCTGAAGGGTGGACGGCGGTCCCCGAAGACGCTCATCGGCAGCATTCCTTGCGTCTTGCTCAACATGGCCGTGGTATCCAAGAGCTTCCAGCTGCGTTGGAGATTGCCGCGACGCCGCCAAGCACAGAATCATCGAGTTCACCAGCAGCGGCTCACAGCGAACTGATCGGTGCTCCCAGCAGGGCGAGCATGCTGATGCCAGGCTCATCCTCCCTGTCCCTCCCTGTCTTTCTCTTCGCCTCTAGTGCGTACTGCATCGTAGAGCGCGCGAGTTTCACACTGCGGCCATGCGGATCGTTTTCGTAAGGCCCGCTATCCCCGCGGGCTCCCGATCCGGGGGTCTATGGTCTCGGTTCAAAAGACGCGCGGCCGCCAGCACGATGTGAAGGCGCGATCTTCATGCCAAGACGTCTCGGGCTTGCGGAATGAGTTGGGCTTTTCGCTACAATGTTCATCATGTCGCTTTTTCCTCGTAACAGTGTCGCACGGCCATCTCGCGACAGAGCTCGGCCAGGCTGCGCAGGGCCCGATGGATCAAGTAGTTTTTGTGACGGGGGACTTCGACCTTGCTGTCTTTGCCCCCATCCTCGCCGATGTCGCCGACGAAGCGCCCGATCACCCTGGCCGCATCCCCCTCCTGGAGCCCCGGTAGGGCGTCCTGGAGCGCACTGGAGTTTCAGCTCGCATCCCCGACCATTACAGCTTCGGGCAAAACCAACCACATGACACATGTTGACAGGCTGTTTTCGTTCGGCCACTTACCAGGTTCTGCCGCAGTCTGCTTCTGGAAGGTGGCGTTGTTGATCATCGAGGGATCCCCCGTGCTTCCAAAGTGTCTGGCCGCGCGGCTGTCGTTGCCACTGTTCAGGTTCGCCCAGCTCGGCCACCTGCTGAGCGCCCCGTTCCGCGAGAGACGGTTCAGGGTGCTGGGTGCTCAGGCTTCTTTCATTTCTTCTCCGTCAGGCGATGGAGGCCGCGGTAGTCAATCCGGCCTCTCCTTCTAGATTACAGTGCATCTTGAACGCTGCGGCTAAGAGTGTCTGCATACTGATTGACTTCTAGCGTTCTAAAAAGTGTCCTGGCGAAATGGGGCATGCCACGGAGGATGGCTGTGGCAGCATGTCTGCGCCATGGGGCGTCATTGACGCCATTATAGATCACGTCCCCATACGCAGTCAGCGGCTTGTTCTTCTTCGATTGATTCCGTCGGTCTCGCTTGCCGGCGCTGCTTATTTCACCGCCATCTCGAACGAGTTGCGATAGAATGTGACCTAGTCTGCGAGGGCCAGGTCGCAGGCTAAAGCACAGGCTCTTCCTCGCCCTCATTGGCTCCTGCGCGCCCAGCAGCGGGTAGCTATACATCGAGTTCGTGACAGGTTGCCGGCTCTTGTTGGTAACTCATTTGCT